GATTAGGCAGAATTCCCCAATAGTCAATAATTAGATGCAGAATATGGAGAGTTAGTTTTGTTATTGTTAAGACTTAAACTCTATACACTGATCAACTCATTGCACAGATGTGTAAGACGACTCATGTTGCCGTGCATAATGCTAGGGGAGAGGGTCGGATAAGAACAGTTATTAGAGGCCTTCAGCTCAAGCTGTTTGTAAGATAAAATGTAAAGATAAAAAGATAATTTTAAAATAAATCTAATTAGTATGTATCTTGTAGTTACACTACAAATGGCAACTTATTCTTACTGAATTCCCCAGAATTTAAAGTTGCTTTGTAAGAACGTTTTAGGCCTCCATTATTTTGATACTAGTATGATGCAGTTTCTCTTTGGTTTTTCCTCCCTTGTTTTACCTTCCCTCAATTCTTCATTCCCAGCAGCCCGACTTTCAGCTCTTCCCGTTGATCACATCAAGCAATTATCCGACCAATATCCAATTTACTTTGTTCTTTGTGGACAAAATATAAAATGATACTTCTTTAAGGTCAGAGTTAACTGGTATCATTAAAGGTTAAAAACTAATGATTTTAGTTCCATTCCATTTTCTCTTCAGTGCAAATGCAAACCACACTCCAGGCAATTTTAAAAGATCCACTGAGAGTAGAGTGAGGTTGAGTGTCCTCACATAGTTATGTCCAAAAGCTAGTCCTCTATCAGTTGCTGAAGGGCAGCTTAGGCTGCCTGGAGGCCAGGGAGCCCAGCATGCAACAATGGCAGGAAAATAGAGTTCCCTTCAGCCCTAATTCACATGCAAGTGAGGTGCCAATCAAGTGCTGACAAGCATGGAGAAACCAAAATCAAAAGTGGGTAGAGATACACTTTCAAAAGAAGCTGTTTTCACACATTTCTAAGTGATGTTTTTAATGGTGGTTATGAATATACCGCTAACAACATGGAGAAAGGAATAAAAGTATTAAAAATAGTAATTGTATATCACTTGAGACGATTCAATAAACTAATGAAATATGTTTACTGAAATTGTAATTCAAGGGATCTTCAAAACATTAATAGGAAATGCTACTATGAAAAAGCTACTCATGGACTTCAAAACTTTTTGCACAAAAATAAACTTATCTTTTAATTCCACCATTTCCATGAACGTTTTGAAGTCCCAACATACGGTTTATTAAAAACATGCACTCATTTTGACTAAGGGAAGAAATGTGAATGGAAGCTGATTTATAGAGCACTGCAAACGGGGAAGGTTAGGTGAGTTCAGAGGGTACTGGGCATTGACAAGGAAAACCAGCTCACGTCTAAATTAAAAAGATATTTAAAGTTACTTGATTTTGCCAAACTGATCATCACCTGGAAAGGTAAGAGCAAAGCACTCTGAATTGGCCAACAAGGGAAGCAATGGAGTCACTTCATCAAAGTGGCTGGAGAAAGAGGACGAAAAGGTCAAAAGCTGCATTCCTATAAAGTGACAGTTAATTTTTTAAAAGTGAGCCTAAATTTTTAACAACTAATATAAAGCAAAAGTAAGCTGCATTATTTGTAGATGTTTTTCCAAATGAACTTGGTAATGCATCCTATTCTTTATCATGTACAAAATAAACTTAAGATAGTAATCTAGGGCTTTGTAAGTGATGGTTTAATAGCTAACTTCACATATTGGCATAGTAAAAATAACACATAACAAAAATAACAAAATAACATTATTTTCATTAATTTAATATCAATTCATAAGATAAACAGTTGCTTCCTTTTGTCTTTAAGGTTTTGGGTTTTTGTCTTTAAGGTTTAATAGCAAGAATCAATACCAGAGCTATCTTTTAAATGTGTATTTTTACTAGAAACACTGAAAATTTAGAGAACTGGAAATCTGATGAGAGCAAAAGCAGTGAAAGGCATATTTTTAGTGTCACTGTTCTCATTATTATAGTAAACTGCATACTGTTTTTATAAGGGTAGACCTGGTCAAATTTCAAGATTTACTACCACAAAGTGAACATTGGTCTTGAAAATCTATCATTGACTATAACATATTCTACAGGAGAAATTCAATACTGTAAGATAGATACAGTCATAAATTAGGCTCTCAGATTTTTTTTCTCAGATTTTAAGAGCAACAATTAGCAAAATCGAAAAGCTCTTCAACTGTTTTGTGCTCTAACTACAAAAGTAATAGATCTGCAGGTGTCTATTAGCAGCACCTTTAATTTTAAACTACAATTACACACACTGCTAATTAAGTAAGGGAAAGATGCATTTCATCAAAGATCTGTTACTTAATAACAGTACTGTTATTAAAGTACTAGAAGTAATTGCATCTACTTGTCACACAGTTTACATTTAAGATAAATTTTCTTGAAATTCATGACCTAAAGGAGGATTTGAACTTGTATGACAAAGGTAGAAACAATTTTCAGGCATTCAAACAGTGAGGCTACAAAGTAAGACTGCACTCTAAGAAGTGTGTATGTGTGTTCATATGTGTAGAATCTTTATTTAGAAGTAACATTTTATGACAATTTTAAATATGGAAATTCTACTGAAACACAAGGAATTTAATGCCCACGGTATACAATGCACTATTGAGACAAAAAATGGTCTAAACCATAATTTAAGCTTTATATGCTAATCATCACAATTCCTTTCTTGATAAAGTTCATATTAAAATTTTGAATCCATGTAAAACAATTTCATATGTTATGCTTGCTAAAAAACCCTGAGAGAATGATTATTTGTCAACATCATAAACACCATGACTCTTCCCCTAAGAATACTGGTGAGAATATGAAAGGTTATTATTCCATTTGAGGCATAAAGCAAAGATTTAAAAGCATTTCAATGTTTGTTGTTTAATAATACTATACTTTAAAAAGTCTTGAAATAGAAACATAGTGGACTTAAACATATTAATCAAATTCGTCAAAAATTAATGTAAACTTCATCAGTGCACACAATGTTATTTGCTTAGACGAATCCATTTGTTTAGGAGAAGAACCATTCTTTCTTCTGATGCCACCATCTGTATGGCCCCACTACATGCCGTAATCAAAATTATTTCACAAAAAGTAGCAAATATAGGAGGTTGAGATATTCGCCATTAATATTTTAAAACCAACACAAGGTATATTACATTAAATAGACTTCTCAGCCCTGGCGTTGCCTGACAGATATGTGATGTGCCAGTGGTTATATTATATTCCTCCTCCCATGCATGTGCCTCCTGCAGAGACAGCAGACTACAGAAGCTGACCCTTACTGAGACCATCTTGTCTCTCTGACAAAGCTCCTTTTTAACTTCTTACTTACTGGTTACTTCCTGTGATGGAGAAAAACTTTAGCTCAGCTTGTGATAATTTCACAGGCCCTGAGGACTCTGACCCTAATAGCCTCAAGGTCAGAAGTCAAGTCTTGTTCTGAAACATCTGTGTGCTTTATATTAAAGTGGAACAAAAGTGGAGAAACATCCACCAGTGTGTGACAAGGACAGGCAGAAGAGGACTGACACACTGGTCATCTGGTAACCCTGGCACCCTAAGTTCATTTGAAAAACTGTCCAAAAGACACTTAAATTCCACAACTGGTGCACAAAAGGTTTTTATAAACTGTGTTAAAGTAAAAAAAAAAGGGGAGGGGTGGAGTTATGCTTTATAGAAATCTCCAATTTTATTAGTCTTATAAGCTTTCAGACATTTTAAACCTCTCTACAAGTCAAGAAATTTCATGCTTTGAGTGTAATAGCTTAAAAGAAAAAATAAGCTGTATGTATCTACATCATTGTATACAGATTTACATATAGATATACTGATACAGTGCTTAAAGGGAACAATTTGAAAAACAACATTAAGATTTTCAAAATTACATCATACTAGTGTGTTTAAAGAATATCTTAAGATATCCATTGCACAACTTTTAAAATAAATTAATTAAATGAGCAGAGTTAAAAGTACTTGAAAGTAATGCTTAAAGACTGGGATCAATTTAAAAAGTAAACAATTCAACTTCTTATTCTTAAGATAGCACAAGCATTTACAGATTTAGGCTAGATAAAGTATTCTCAGGTGTCAGGTGTCAGCACCAGTTTTATGTCTAAATCATATGAGTAAGCAATAAGGTGTAGGGAGGTTGAAAAGGCCACAGAAATATATTTAATTTCCATGACAAAGAGAAATACACACCAAAGTCTAGAAACATAGACAATCAATGCTATGCTTGCTTTTAACATTCACTTTGATCTATAAAGATTTAAAATTATCAAATGCACTTTCAACAAATTAGTTTTATTAAAGTGTTGTACTTTCCTGTGATATAAGGGTTCTGGACATCAAGACACAAATTTTTTATCGATGCATGTTTAGTATTGATTACATCACATTAACCATACTGGCACAAGACTGTGATATTTGTAGTACTGCATATGAGACAAAATTCAGAAACTGTGGTAATTTGTTCTATCATGTATACTTAATCTTAAATCACAGAGTCAGATTATTTTGAAACCCCATGATTTTTATGGCCAGACAATATGCTCTATTCAGAAGCAGATGAATGGAAGATTTCTGACATTTTTAATACTAATTATATAAATTCTGATCAAGTACCACATGCTAACCAGTGGGGAAGAAAGTCTACTAAATATTATCAATATATTTCAAACATTTGAAGGGTCTCTTGACATTTCAAATATTGACTGCACAAACCTCAATGGTATCCACACAAAACAGGAAACATAACTTCCATGAAATGTGCAAAAAAGGTGACAATGATGCAGAAATTAGAATATGTAAATAAACAGGCAGAAAGTTTTCTAATCACATTGAAAATCACTGTCAGCATAAAATAAATATCAGAAAATTCTTTGCTTGAAATATTTTTGTTTTCTTCTTTTGTAAAATAATGTGATGGTACCAAAAAGCAAACCAAAGAAAAAAAAAGAAAAAGAGGGAACAGAGAGAATCAACCTGTAAGGAGACTGGTAGTTAAAGGTGTTAAAAGTACACTTACCAGTTCAACAAAGGCAAGTCCTCCATAGCTGTGAGCAACAAAAAATACATTCTCAGCTGCAGACTGGGCTATGAAATGGTCCCAAACGTAGATGGCATGTTCTTCCGGAGAACCATTTTCCTACAAGCAAACCAAATATATTACTCAGTGTATCTATTACCATAGGACTCAACAATTAAATGATACACTTGCATACACAGCTACAAAGAAATAAGATGGTTATTGCGCATTTAAAATAATAACAGAACTACATAGAGAATTCAAATTAGAGAATAAGTTATTGTTAAAAGTATTGGTCAATTATTGCTAAGCTTAACTGCTACTATAATCTTCTGAAATATTTAAAGTAAGCACATTTTTGAGAGGAAAATTTGTTATACCTTAGATATCAAAGCATATCTAAATACATCAGAATTGTACAGCATAAAGTTATAGTAGTCTTACATGGAACACTAGAGAAAATTTAGTTATCTTCCATATTTATATATATTTATATTACACATATCTTTAAATTATTTGATTTATAAAATTTTAAGTATTTCCATCAGATAAAAATAAGGAGAAAATGAATATTTTCTACAGAAGTTGTTAAAAATACATATAATTTTTTAAAAAAGCATTTTCTATATGTATTTTATTTCTAGAAGAAACTTGAATATATAAACTTAAGGGTTTTTACATTGCTCCCAACTAGCTAAAACCCAATAAATGTGTTTTTCTTGAATTCCAAAATTTCTGTAATAACTTCATTTTGCTATATTTATTTTGATAGCTGAAACATATTGTGGTTAAAACTAAAGCCTGTAATGTGAAAAACAAAAACCAGCTAAATAACACTAATCAAAAAAGAAACTGCTAGGCACTAAAACATCATAAAAAATGTTTCTAGATAAATAATTTTTAGAAAACTTAATACTAAAAAACTAATTTCTTCAGAATGTCATAGATATTAGAAAATAAAAACAAATTATTCAGATTTTCCATTTTAGAAATTTTATAAAAACTTATTGAGGTCCGTATACATGACTTCATTTGCCAACCAGAAGTTACTGTTCCCTAATACCTATCTCTATCCTAAATTTTTCTCCAGAGCTACAAAGCCAGCTGTTCAATGGTCATTGCCTTTTGGATGTCCCATAAACACTTCAGAACCTACCAAAGCAACACAGCACTGAAAAGTTTCTCCAAAAGGTGTGACACCCATGTCTCACTGAAATCTAAGATCACCTTTGATTTCTCTCTCCCTCAAATTCCATATATAATCAATCATTAAAACCCTGTTGATTCTATATCCAACTGTCTCTTAAATTCATCCACTTCTCTCCATTCTCCTTTCCCATGGCTTAGTTAAAGCCACACCATTTCACAAGTGGATGACGTTAAGATCCCAGTTTCCCTGCCTCAGGGACTGTCCACTTACATGTATCTCTAATTCTGTAGGGAACCATCCTTCAAAAGTACAAACACAAGTTAACTCTTCCCCTGCTTAGAACCTCTCGTTTTCTCACTGCCCTCAGGATGAAAGTTAATTCCTCAAAATGGCTTTGAAGGTGCTTCATAATCTGGCTTTCATCTACATCTCAAACCACCTCTCTCACCATTACTCTGCAAAATACCTCGACCATAAGGCACCTTTCTGCCCCCTGAGAAATTACAGAACACTCTCTGTGTTCCAAATGCAAGGTGCAACTTGCGGTAACGTAAGTATGCCATATTTTCCTGTCTCTGGACCATTTCCTTTATCTGGAAAATGACCCTTGTGTTCTGCCTGAATATCTTCTACTACTTTACCTACATAATTGCTACTTGTCCTCTATGTAAATTTTTAAAAACTTATTTCATCAACTTTAATGGCAGAGCAACAGAAGGATAGAGAGATTTTCCATCTGCGGATTCATTCCTCATGCCCGCAATGGCCAGAACTGCACCAGGCTGAAGCCAGGATCTCCATCCTGGTCTTCCATATGGGTGGCAAGGATCCCAGCACTTGGGCCAAGTTCTGCAGCTTTGCCAGAGTGCACATTAGCAGGAAGCTGGATCTGAAGAGCAGGTGCTAGTATCAAACTGGTACTCCCATGTGGGATGTGAGCATCCCAAGGACAGCCTTTACCCACTGTGTCATAATGCTCACCCCTCCTCCACTACTTGTCATTTAGTACTTAAATGAGATACTATCTCCTCAAGGAAGCCTTCTCTGTCACCATCAAGGCAAAGTAATGTCCTCTAACAACACTTTTGGCATACTATATTGTAATTACTTGTTAGTTTATCAAATTCTTGAGGCCAACAGCTGTGTCTTCCTGTTCATTAATTTTTGGTATAAGGAATGGATAATAAAAACCATTTATTTTCAGGTTGATTACTTACAACCTGGTAGTTATATACTAAAATATAAACATACTTTAGAAGATAATTATTAGCAACATAAATATGAAATTACTCACACTTAAGATGTGTGTGTGTGTGTGTGTGCAATGAATAAAAAATAAATCCTTACAAGGAAACCCTTGTAAGGATTTTAGGCTTTGATAATTTAGCTTTCACAAGTTTGAAAAGGAGTATACGGTTATAAAACTCAGGATAGTAAGTAACTCTAAGGAAGAGAGATATTATGACTACAAAATATATTCTAGTGGCTGGCAGGGTTTTCTTTTCCTAAACTTATTTGAGAGACAGAGTATGAGAGAGATCTCCCATCTTCTGTTTTACTCTCCAAATGCTCAAACTGTCTGCAGCTAGAAGCAAGGAACTGAGCATTCAATCCATATTTCCCACACTTGTGGCAGGAACCAATTATTTGAGCTCTCTTCCCTGCTTCTTAGGATCAGCATTAGCAGGAAGGTGGAATCAGGAGCCAGAGGTGGGATACAAACCCGGGTACTCTGATTGTAGATGCAGTTGCCAAGCTAAACAGCTGTCTCCAGTTTACCACTTAGATTCTTTATAGTTATTATTTATACTGGCCATGTATAGTCAGTACTTTTCTGTAGAAATACCATAATGGACACAAAATTTATTATACAAACTTCTGAGAATGAGGAAACATAATTGCTTACAGGAACAGAACTGTAAAAACAAAAGAGGGAGAGACTTAACAGAATTTCTACCATTGGCAGAACAATCTTAGACCTGTGATGGTCCTAAATATCCAATGTACGTATAGATTAGATTACTGTCTACATTAAGCTCTGTGATGGCCCCGACTCCAGCTTCCTGTTACTGTAGACCCTGTGAGGCAACAGCTGATGGCTTAAGTCATCGGGCCATCCATGTGGGAGACCTGGATTGAGCTCCTGGTCAGCTCCAGCTCAGCCTTGGCCTTAGTGCGCATCTGGGGAGTGAACCAGCAGTTAGAAGATTTCTCTGTTTCTCTCTGTTGAAAAAACTAATCAAACTTTAAGGGAATATGTAGACATCATTTATAATCATTTGCCTGTCTTATTGCCAGGTTTAGATCTAAAATACTGCAAAATATTGTTGCTCAAGGTTGCCTGCTGGCCCTATCATTAGCCATGGTAGCTCAAAATAAGCCCAATTCTATTTCATTATTTCTTCTCTATCCTACTTGTTTTTTAATCTATCAAGTTACTTCTTCCTTCTGCAATGTAAGCAACTTGAAGACAGATTATCTTTTGGATTCAAACTATAAATATAAACATGCTATTGACACACAGTAGGTTACTAGCAACTTTAGTGTGACCAGCAATGAAACTGTGGACAAAATGATATGAGCTGCATTTTAAAAATCAAAATGAAGGAGTATTTAAATTCTAATTCATCAACCTAGCTTCTACTTATCTGGAATACAGCAAAAGTGCTCAAAGATATTCATCACTGTCTCCTATATCATAGCAATACTCTGGATAAATAATAAGTATCCAATAATGTAAAAATAAATATTTAAATACATTATACTATTTCTTTGTCTGAGGAAATAGTATGTAATATTACATGAATTTAAAATGTAACATATGCAATTCATCTGATTTTATATGTAGTAAAACTACATAAAAAAGCTTTAAAAAACTTCAAAAGCAGGAATAAAAACTATTAAATGTATCAGATGGGCAAGTATTTGGCTTGGGGTTGAGTCGCAGATCTGCTCCCGATTTCAGCTTCTTGCTAATGGACACTTTCAGAGGAGGTGGTGATGGCTCAGGTAGCCGTAAGTCTGCCACCCGCCTGGGAGATATGCATTGAGTTCCCTCCCCTGGACTGAGCTCGCTAAACCCGGATGTTGGGGTCATTCTGAAGTGAACTAGTCAATAGGAGCTCTCCATTTCTCTCATGGTTTTTCTGCCTCTCAAATAAAAAATGAAAGCAAAACAAAACAAAAAAGCAGCAGAGCTGCCTGTGAATGGTAGGATTATCCATATTTTCCATTTTAGTTTCTTTATACATTTCTGAAGCACACAAAATTTCTACTGTAATAAAACAAGTGAACATCACCACCAACAACAAATAATCAGAAATACCAGGGTATTCCAGGGTAAACTTGTGCCACCTTACAGATCTCTGTGCCACAATCAATATACTTTTATAAACCATAATCCAGAGAATTCACACAAGTATTACCAGCAGTGTATTGGAGACTACAGATTTCAGTAGGAAAGACTTTCTAATACGTCTCAATTACAGAGATGCAAACAAACTGCATCTACTCTGCAGGTTGCACTCTGAGTTTCACACTAGAGTACAGTCTGTACAGGGTAACTTGATTCAGGCTGGCTGATTTTGAAACATGCAAATCTATGAAGCGCATGAAAAGACAAGGAGTAAATCCATCAATTAAGAGTTTGCTACTGGCAGAATGCATAGGATGTCTGCACGGTGAATTTCTGCTGTGTTCAGAGAACAGGGTGAATTTCTTGATGAACTCTTGCCATCACTAATCACTAAGCGCCAAATAGAAGTGTTGCAGTAACCAAAGCCTTATCAACTATGCCAGATTCCACTACCTGGGCATTGCAAGGGCTGCACTTATGATGGACTACCTGAGCTGATAACACGAGGAATTATCTAAACAACATTTGCATATTTGTGTAATTATTTTCTAAGGTTAATTAGCTCCTGTAATGCATTTCGCCCTCTGAGACTGCTTACAGTGACAGGTTCACATA